GCATTTTGTTGGACCGAGTGTTTTTCCCCTCTTGGAGGCTTACAGCAAGCTTGCAGTACACACAGAACAATATCTTACTTTATCTTCTAGTCTGATGTAGGTTGGAATCTTCATCTGGAGCCCTTCCTGCTGAAAGCTGCTGTGTGTTGACACAAATGGTTACCCATTTCTCTACAGTGAGTGAAAAATAGAGCCTGCTTCCTCCCTGTTTTTTTTTTTTCTTTTTATTAATTATTGTGTTTTTTGCTAGCTTGGATTGTCCTGGAGGATTTAGGAGCAAGAAATGTGCAGTCAATTATTTTTCTTCTTGACAGGTAGCTACTCTGCCAAAATGTGCATTTGACACCTATTGTCCGATAGCAGCTGGTCGTTATTAACAACTGTTGGGTAAATAACTCTGAACCCACAGGGACTCCTTTCCCTTTGAAAATGTAACAGTGTATTGCTTTAATTATTGTGCTGCAAAGCCAGCTAGGCCAAACAGCATGATGTAGTGTAACAATTTGAGAAATCCCATTATCCTATAATGCATAACTATGAATTAAAATATATAATTTTCAGACAGACTTACTGCTCCGAAACTATTAAGCACTGGGAATCTTACAATCTGGAATGTGTGTGTGGTAAGGGAGGAGACTGGAAAGTACACCAGACTGTTCCAATTAATAGTGCTTTCTTTTTAATGAACATTGTTTCCCCAGGCTGGGGAATCAGTATATTATAAAGAATGTGTTTTTAAGACCCTTAGTTCTGTGCAACTATCTTGTCTAACTACCAAATTCTTATTTTTAACAAATGTTATGGAGAGAGGGGAAGAATTTTGGGGTCCTCACTATTGGCATCTACTGATACTTAAAAGCTCTGTCTTCTCTGGAAATTGAATGTCTTGGACTTGATCAGGATTCTGCCCCGTATGTTCCCAATTCCACCACCTGGGATGGTGGTGGGAAAGTGGTGCTCTGCAAGCAAAGCCATGTGCCAGCAGCAATTCCAAACTGAGCCAGTGGCATCCCTTGTCTGGGTGGGCTGTAACAACTGGAAATGACTGGAAACAACTGCTGCAGTTGAGATTGCTTTTCAAAAGATACCAGTCGTGGACTAAATGAGCTCAGAGCTCATTCTTCCACCCCTTAAAGATCTCATCAAGTCCAATTAGAGATCCACTGATAAGGTACAATTGGGAAGCTTGTTTTGCCATTGTCTGTGCTAGGAATCATGCACAGCCTTTCAAACATTGCTTGGCCTTGCACAGCAAGGATATTCATATAGAGAGTTATTGAACATTCAATAATTTGCAGTCAAATTGAGAATAATCAAGGGCACTTATACYCGAGCAATATGTCAAGTGAGAGAGTTATTGTGATCTTATTTTGCAGAGCAGGATTTCAGACACGTAGGAGCTCAAGAGACTTGCCACAGTAAAGCCTGCAGCAGAGCCAGCTGTTATCTCCAGTGATTTAGCATCAGGTCTAAGTCTCTGTTTTCAGTGTAGCGAGTTATGGCTGCCAGTTCAGAGCTATGAAAAACACCTCTCTGGACAAACATCGCTTTATGCTCCAATGCTGTCTSCTTATTAATGTGTGTGTGATAAGCAAATATTTGTAAAGCAGGAAGAACCAGTAGCTGAAAGAAGAACATAATCATCCCTRGGAACATGTGCCTGTGCAGGCCTGGAAGTCCTAAGGTAGTTTTAAAACTCAGATACCACAGAATCACAGAATGGTTGAGGTTGGAAGGGACCTCTAGAGATCCTCTAGTCCAACCCCCTGCTCCAGCAGGGRCACCCAGAGCACGGGGCACAGGGCGGCATCCAGACGGATTCTGAAGACCTCCAGAGAAGGAGACTCCACAACCAAACCCCTTCACCCCAAACCCTCCACTACCAAAYCCTTCCCTTCACATTTGCCAGGCAGACTAGGAAAAGAGCTTTAATCTTGGCAGATCAACATGAGCAAACAAGATGCACCACCTTCTTGCAAACTGAAGAAGCACCTAAGTTAGATTTGAAAGCCTGGTCATGTTGACTGCAAACACGTTGTGACTGCAGACTGCAGGCCTTGTGACTGAAAACGAGCTGCTTAGAAATGTCACTGGAGGAGAGAAGAAATGAATGAGTTGCCAGACAGACACTCTTGTCTCATGAATTCCTTTCTCTGCAACTCCATGAGCTACGTTTTGAGAGAAATACTCCTGACTATTGAAAAAACTGTTAGATTTTCCTTTTGGGAAACTGTAATTCAAGTCAGGCCAGTTTCTGAAAAGGCAGTTCGGGCCTTAGCCAACTCTAAAATGCACTGAATATAGCAGGTATTCTACATGGGGCTTTTTTAGGTTGAATGGGCTTCATGTCTAAGACTTGGATTAAAATCATACTCATTTTTTTTTTTAAGACTTTATTAGGAAAATTAAAATTTTCAGTTTATTCTTTTTACTTTTATTTGTAAAGTTTGCTATAGCTGCCTTGATAGATCAAACTATGCTTTTTGCAGGTATGTCAGATTGAACTTGGTTTTCAACGTAATGAAATTCAACAGATAATGTTCAAAACCCCCAAGATTTTAACTTCAAGCAAAAAGAAGCTCAGAAAAACATTTGACTATCTACACAATGTCATGGGCATTCCCCACAATATCCTTACTCGGTTTCCTCAGGTGAGCTGTTAGTCTGCTCAAGAGCTGCATTGTTCCCTGAGTTCCCATTTCAATGTAATATAATTTAAATTCTAATCTCTTCCTGATCTTTGACGTTAATGAGGGCAAAAGATCCAGATTGTTTTCTTGCTTAAAACTTCAGGCTCTCTAAAAACAGTTGCTATTTGAGATTTGTAACATTCTGAAATTTAGAGTCTGTAAAGCTTCTCCCTTTTCTTTCTTTCTCTCTTAGGTTTTCAACTCCAAATTACTGCGAATCAAAGAGAGACATTTATTTCTTAAGTTCCTGGGAAGAGCCCAGTATGACCCAGCACAACCCAGCTACATCTCTCTGCACCAGCTGGTGTCCTTGCCCGATGAGGTCTTCTGCACAGAGATTGCCAAAGCCTCAATGCAGGACTTTGAAAAATTCTTAAAAACACTTTAATGAGTAACACATGTAAAAATGAATAACCTAAAATTATGAAATAAATGTATTTTATAATATAAACCTGCTCCCTTTTATGGTCTCTTAGCTTCTTAATTACTGCTTTAAGAAGTTGTTGCTTGTGAAACATTTGTGGCGCATAATGTCTAAGAATAATGTTCATTATGGTAACTTAAAGTGTGTATTTCACAAGGATTAAGCAAATAGGTTGCTTTAAAGGTAAATTAAGGTAGATTATTCTACTTTTCTTTTTCCRAGCTTTGGGAGAGTGAAAAACTGACCAGTGACTGACTTCTCGGCCTCCTTCCCATCTCCCCCTCACCCTGTTTCCCTCTAAAAACTAGATTAACTAATCAYTGCAACAGCAAAGAAGAGCCGTGATTGCTTGTTCTAATCTCAGCAGCTAATTATGTTATTCCCTTCCTTGCAGAGAGAAGTACACCACGACATACATGGAGTCCCCTATACAAAGTGGTGTTTAGCAACAGCTTCTAACAAGGGCGCTTATTTTTGAGGCTAGTTGATGAACTTAATATCCTACAAGCAGTATGATGAAACTTGGTCTGAAATATAAAGGAAAATGAGCAAACTAAATGTAGATGAATATATATATATATATATATATATATATATATAAAGGACTTCCTGTAGGTTTCAGGGATGTGCCCAGTTTTACTTCTACAACTTGCTGTCTGCCTCTTGGAGGGGAAGAAAAGAATAGTATCGCCCCATCCCTGATAGGATTCATAGGGCTTCAGCAGACGAGCAGCTGCACAAATTTATCTCCTTCAATTTTAACTGAAGTAGTTGGTACTGTTAGGAATTGTAAGAGTATTATAAGTGGTTAATGTTATCAGCAAGTAAATTATATGCAGAATTCTGAAATGCTTCACAGTATTTGCACAAAGTGAAAAAAAMCGACAATCCAAATGCAAACTGCCTAATAGTTTATTGTTTAGAAGTTTCCATTCTTTCAGTTATAATAGTTCAGGAAACTTAAATCCAGATGTTTTCATTTGAATTTAAGCTTATTTTAATGAAAATGGCTCCTTTTATGAAAGCTTAATGTTCTTCATGGTGATGCATAACAAATTTCATCCAAAGTGGTGGTCTGAGATGGGATGGCTGAACCCTCCCTGCGCCCTTGCTCTTAGGTAAGACATATACTAAATATAACAAAAGACATTTGCTTAGATATTTGACCTTATTACAGCACCAAGCACATTAAGGCTTTAAGCACATATAATCTTCAAACAATCTAATWTTTTTTTTTATGGTATGATGTAGGAATTCATAATGCCAGAGACAGCTACTTTCCCCAGACCTGCTCTTCCATCCTTAGCTACTTTATCACCAGGTGACATGGCATTATCATTCAAAATGTATTATATATAGTATTTTAGTGTCSTAACCTTCAAGCTATTCATTCCATTAGCATGTTTAAACGCAACGATGATTGTCGTCAGARCTAACTCCTCTCCTTGGAATTTTAAATGTGTGAGCTTGCTCCCTTCTCTTTTTCTGGGAAAAAAGCTTTTATGGAGATGCTAAGAGAGAAAGGGGCAGAGGAGAGAAGAGCTTGTGGGGAGTCCTCCCAGATATTTAGGGGCTTTAAGAGGAAGCAGCAGCCGAGCTTGACCTGGAAGGGCCGCAGTCTGGAGTTGTTCTCGGTAAAGGCGGGAAGCTTTGGGTGTGGTGGGGGGTGGTGGCCATTCTCCCTGGCCACGCCCCGCTCCGCTGGCCACGCCCCGCTCCGCTGGCCACGCCCCGCTCCGCTGGCCACGCCCCGCTCCGCTGGCCACGCCCCGCTCCKCTGRCCACGCCCACTGGCGGACGGGCCTCCAACCTAGCGCGCGTGCGCGCGCGCCCCACCGCCATTGGCGGCGCAGGCGGGCACGCGGCGACGTTACCCAGCAGGCGGCGCGCCTCTCTGAGGTCAAGATGGCGGCGAGGGCACCGGGTGAGGCGGCCGGGACGGCGGCGGCGGCGGGGCCGGCCCCGGGGATCGCAGCGGCCCGGCCCGGCCCGGCCCGGCCCGGCCCGGCCCGGCCCGGCCGTCCGGGGCTTCCCTTGGGGCGGGCGGCGGGCTCCACGCTGCGCTCTGTTCCCGTGCGGCTTCCCAAGCGTGCCGGGGCGGCCGTCCTTGCTGGCGCTCGCCCGGGCCGAGCGGGTTCGGCGCCTCGCTGCCCGGTGTGGGCAGCAGGGAGGATGAGGTGGCGGCGCGAACATGGCGAAAACGGGGATGTGCCGTCGACGTGGTGGTCCTCGTCGTTAGAACTGGCGTTTTTGCGAGGCTCCCGCTGTTGCCTGGGGAGGTTTGGGAGATGTGGGCCCAGCAGTTATATTAAGTAATTGGGGTGGGGTTAGAAAATTARCGGCATACTTTGAAGGCCGTGAAACCAGACCACAACACAGAGGGAGCTATGACAGATTGTTGTTAAAAATAACAATAAAAAATAAAAATAAGCRGGGTGATTCTGCTTTCTGGAAGACGTTATGTTCTCAGCCCAGGTAGGACTTAGGAATCCTAAAATAATTGTTATTGTCTCATTCTGGGCTGTTAGCACCATTCCAGGTCTTGGAATGGCCTGATGTCAAAATTCAGTGCAAGCAGAGGTTTGAATCGTCGTATTCACAGGCGCTTACGCGGCACGGTCAGTGTCGGTGCGGTGGGTGCAGTGCAGACCTGCCCTAACGTCGCATCCCCGCGCGTGGGCAAGGGCAGCGAGGGTTTGTGCGCGTGCTCTCGCGCCCCACGCGTGCCCGTGTGCCCCACGCGTGCCCGTGGGCCCTCGCTCCCGCTGAACCCGGTGCCGCTCAGTTTCAGGAGGYAGCCGCCTGCTGGAGAGCTTCCGCAAGTGGTACTACAACGCGGCCGGCTTCAACAAGCTGGGTACGTCCTCTAACGTGCTCTTCTCTATTGAAATTAGCTGCTCTCTGTGCTGGGGGGAAAAAAAGTTAGCAATGACTTCAGCCCTTGTGATTGCAGCCTTGCAAGAAATGTCTATCTCTGCCTCTCTCCCAGGTTTGCTCTTATTTTCAGGGAAATAATTATGGTTAAACAGGAGCTAGCTGTAGATGTATTTAATTATTTATTTTCATAAAGGAGCTTCTGAAAGCCTGAAACGATCCCCTACCAAGTCAGTTTTAGCCGTGTCCAGTGCTCTCATTACCTGTCCAGAGGCTGCCCTTTAAAATGCAGCTTTCCACTGGGAGCAGCCAGTCTGCATGGGATGCCTTTTCTCCTTCCTCCCATACATCATGGGAAAAAGCTTTTGTGATTTTTATCTTTGTAATTTCATATGATGTCTCCCTGGCAGCATGAGARTGAAGGAGCTGTGGAAACTGTTTCCTTAAGTAAAGGAGAATGCCTTGATGCTATGATCTCTATGTAGATCTGTCACAGAGAAGTGAGMTATTTCATTCTTCTTTAGTTTGTTTGCTTGTTTTTGGCCTAAGTTTAATCCTCTGTTTCTGTCTTGCCAGCACTTGATTTGGGGCCTTTTTTTTTTTCCTTTAACCTATCTGTAAAAATTCTCAAAGCTGTTAAAGCTATTAGTGCTTGCTTTTCTGTGACTATGAATAAAAACCTCAAGAGGAATACGTTAGCAAATACACAGTTTATTTATATTTAAAAAAAAAATGAATTCAGGAATATTAAAGGACAGATTACTGCTAGTTCAGTCACATGAGATCAAAACSTCTATCTGCGAGCCGGTACGTGTACTCTCATGATCTTCATCTATCTTAGAATGTTACAGGAGTAAAACAAACCTTTCATTTTCTTAATATACAAAAATATATTAAAAATAATGTGTTTCTGTTTTTGGCTTTGAGAAGCCTTCTTTGTCTTGTCTGTATTTTGATAGAAAACGAAGTCGGTCCGAAGCATCTGACTTCAGGASTCTGTAGCTGGTTACATCTGATGGGGATCTTGTCAGTCTGCACAGAAAGGTTCAGGGAACAGATCCTTGATATTAAAGTAGTCACAACTACTTTAGTGACTGTGGTATAATTAATGCTTCTAATTCCTTAATCTAGACAGTCGTTCTGAGCGCAGGTGTCTAATTTTGGTCAACGTGGGTGCACCCTTCGTATCTAGGCTAGAATACTGCTATGTAACACACTGAAACACATATGCAATATTTTGTTGCTCATTTTTAAAGGAGAGCACAGCATGAAGTAAATAATGTATGTACAAGTGAGCTTGTTCCCTTGAGCAAGTAGTGATTCTCTTTTGAATTGGTCTGTTTTTRTATTTTTAGAGTTATTCTAGTGTTATGTAATAATGCCTGCATTAAGCTTAAATATTAATTAGTAGTGTTGATGCAGTGCTGCTGTAAAATCTTGCCGATACAGGGTTGATGCGAGATGACGTCTTGTATGAAGACGATGACGTAAAAGAAGCGCTGAAGAGGCTTCCAGAACCTCTTTACAACGAGAGGATATTTCGCATGAAGAGAGCACTTGACTTGAGTCTGAAACACCAGATCCTTCCGAAGGATCAGTGGGTGAAATACGAAGAGGTCAGTCTTCAAGGGGAGTCTTCAGAGTGTCTTCAAGGGGAGGAGATCTCTTAAATAGCAACTCTGTGCACCTGTCTTTGGGGCTTCCTGTATGAGGGTATGAGGGTATGAGGTATATGCTTGCATGTTATTGATAATGAGGAGTTATTTCATTCCATGTCTAATAGCATTCCTTGGAAAATCAGAACTTTTGATCCCTGTTTGTAAATTTCTACGTTGAAGTGGAAGCTCCTTCTAGGAAGCTTTGCTCGAGATGAYAAAGACTTAAATTAATTAAAAATCAGAGTCCTGGCAGTTTGGTTTGTAAACAAATGTAATTTCTTCTATGTTGCCAGGTATGGTGATCTATTGCAGCTAAGTTAWAAATTCTTATAAAATAGCTCTTTCTTTTCTGACGATTACCTTACTTTGGAGAAAATCTTCAGCCACAGCTTTTAGTCATGGAAATGCCAAGGAATAACAATTTAAATGAAAACCTTGGTTAGGTTTGATAACTGTTGCATTGATCAATTGAATGTTTAAGTTACTTGAGCAGCAGTTTGAGTTGTGAATGCTAAACATAGCTGATTTCTGTTGAATCTCTTTGAAATGGTGTTTAGAACTAACATGCAAAATAAGTTTCCAAAGTGCAAAGTTCTGCTGGACTTGGCTGTAAATGAAGTGGATCTTGCACATTTTCACATCCTAAAGTCTTTCCCAATTCAGATGCRTTTATTTGTTTTGTGGGTTTAGTAGTTTGAGTCCAGCAGTCACTTAGGTGCCTTGGAGTTGCTTTTTGAGCATATGAGACTCCTCAGTCCCATGACTGGGCTATTTGGCAGGAGGACACGAAATGTGAAGGTACAGCTGAAAGCATCGCTGTTTGTGACGTTCATGAGGCAATAGGAATTAGGTGCTACTACGTGTTGTTTGCAACCATTGCCAGTTTGTTAAGGTTACCTTTTAAGAGTAAGCAGTGTGGGTTTTGTGTTTTTTTCCTAAGCGGAATAAGAGAGAATTAATCTGAGGATACATTAGTTGATTCTGGGCATCCCTGTAATTTTGGGTTTTTTTTCTTCTCTCCTCAGGACAAGCGCTATCTTGAACCTTATCTAAAAGAAGTCATTCGTGAACGACTTGAAAGAGAAGCATGGAACAAGAAATAACTATTGAACTACTTCATGCAAATGTCCCCTTCTTTCTGATATTTTTGAACATGGTTCTGGAAGCTGTCTACTGGAGGCAAATGTGAGGCTGAGGGAGTACATATTTCAGTTTGTTCACTGAATCTGTTCATCCAAGTAAAATAAATGTATCAAAATGAAAAATCTACTTGGAAGGCTTCTTGGTAAATGTTAACGAGCTAATGTTACCCTACTGCAGTGGCATGCAGTCTTCATTCCAGCTTTTTGATTCATGTTTTTTTCATAGTACAGCCGTTTCCAGCAGCTGGCAGGGTAGGTCAAGGCTGCTGATGCTGGCGTTTCTGTTAGGCTATGAAGAGGATGCTTATTTTTTTCATCACCTTTCATTTGTGGAGAAAAGAATCCTGGAACTGATATTTTGGGGGCAACATGAGGTAGCAGCGCTTAATATTCTGTGCTAAGCAGATATAATAAAATATKAACGGTTTCTTAGTCCCAAATTCAGGAACTGTTCCACAACCTTATACACTAWGTATATTGTTAATGCTCAGAAAGTGTATTTCACACAAATAGTTGTCTCACTTCAGGTTCTTGAGACAGCCTGAGGTTTAAAAGGGTGAAAGGGGTATGTTGGCACCCTTTCCACAATATTAATAAATGCTGGAAATGTGTTTCCTGGCCTAAAGCATGTTATTTACAGTGATTGGCTTGAAATATTTTAATCTGTGAAGCTAACAGGCTTAATGCCATTAGAGATAGACATGGAATTCAGTCTCTGCATAAATACAGTTAAATACAGCAAATACTTGCTTAAATACAGCAATTCAGTTAAATCCTGGTATTACCAGCCTGCAGACATTGAGTTTAGAGTCTGCCATAGTTCCGTGACCGTTTTGAGGCAGCTTTTGGTGCTTTGTGCCACACGCAATTGAGAAGTCCAGGCAAGAAGRTTGTGTGATAGCTACAAGTTTGGTTTTTAGCAGGAGGTTTCGGGGGGAGTACATGTAGAACACAATGCACAATGTAGAACACGTGCCGCACATGAGCAGTCAAAAAATGATTACATAAATATGGAGCAAACCAGGCCCATAGTTTGAATTAGCACAGTAAAATAGYGTGCTGGGGTAAAAGCTTGAAAATGAACATTTTTTTTAGCTTTGCTAATGACTGTTTGTAATCCTGGCATCTACTTGCTTCACACTGGCTTGCATCTCTATAAAGGACAGAGTGGTCCATGGTTCAGATATTTATTTCAAAGCTTATAGCATGGAATGGTTACAAAAAATCTGCAAAAATATCTGCATGAGCAATATTCACTCAGAAATTAAGGGGATGATACTCTTAACGAAGAACCTGAAGCTGCTTTTGTCACCTGCGGTGACTTGCAAATTTGAGAAAATCATTTTTTTTCTTACTTTAAGGTTATTGTAGGATTTTGCAATTGAAACACTCTAGATCTTTTTATATGTGGAGTTAGTGAAGGGCTTTCTGATATATCTTTTGAGACACAAATACGACCTGAACATTTCACACTTCTAATGGAATTAGTACTATTTCATTATCTTTGAATATTTCATTATCTATTGGACCATCTAATTTCTTCAACATTTGGAAACATCTCGGTCAAACTAGTATAACACGGTAGGATTTTGCAGAAAGATGAGCATCTGCTTACTTGGCTACAGGTTTGGGTTAAGATACATGTGCTTCAGAGCTGTTTTTCAAAAATGTCTTGGGTTAGAGAAGAGGATTTTGCTGGCACCAAACACTCTAAAGTAGCCTGAGCTTTTTGGAAGGACGTTCTGATCTGAAATCGGACCTCTTTATCCTCTAAGTTAACGTATTCAGACTCAGAGGTAAATAAAACAAAATGCAGAATTAATCTTTTCATGTGGTCTGTATAACAGCTTTGGGGTGGAAAGAAAAGTTGTCAAAAGCTGRCCGTGATTGTTTGACAGCTGACATTCAGACAATTTCAGATACTTCTTGTTTGGAGCGATTATTTTTTAGCTTGAACCACACATAATATACAGTAGCCAGCTGAAGTTTGCTGAAAAACTTCAAGCAGAGACTGTTAGGCTGTTGCTTAGAACAGTGTTAGGAAATCCCCCCCCCTTTTTTTTTTTTTTTTTTTGATTTTTGATGCATTTAGGCAAAGAGCCAAAAAGGAGATTTAACAGGGATACTGGTGGCCTGGGAACTGGATGGAGATGTAGTGTTACAAACTCTAGGCTCTTGTCTAGAGCTTATAGGCGAGATTTGAATGGTTCCGTTACTGGCTACTACTAGTTGGAAAAAAATATTGTCCTTCTATGTGTGCACTAAGCTCCTGACATTAATTGTAGCTAGGTGAGACACAGGATTAATTAAATGAAAGGTCTAGATCTTGCTAGTGAAGAGATGGAGGGTTAATGTGATGGGATGTCTGAGATGGAAATTACTCTGAGGAAAAGGAATGGACTTGCAGAAAAAGAAAGGAGTTCAGATTAGTGATTTTTCATGTAACACTTGTGTTTCTCTGGTGCTATTATCTGTAGGATCCTGAAAAGTTGTCATTTTAAGCAAAACCTTACGAGGAGATTTATAAAAAAAGACAAATGGCTGGAGAAGAAAAGCTAGTCAAGTGAGAAAGGGAATAGGACGTTGTTTTGGAGAACTGGATTCTTTTCTGCTTCTTTCATAATGGTCTTCTGTATCTCTGAGCAAGTCGTGTAGACTTTTTGCAGACGCTTCCTAAACATTTTGCTAGATACTCAGTACTTGGGGCTAGATCTGCCAGAGTGTGGAGTGCAGAAACGTGGAGTCTGAATCCAGTAGTTCTGAGAATACCATTACAAGTGTTGGTGTTCCTCTGCTCACATAGCAAGTACTGCAGGTGTTGGCAGGAACACAATCCTGTAGCAGTTCTGACTGTTCTGGAAACCTTTCACACTCACAGTGAGTACAGAAACACTTAAAGTGAATCGGATGTATTTGTGTCTCACACACAGTGCAGTGACGTTGCTTTATGTACTATGGAGAGTAAAAAGGATTCTGAATGAGAGGGAGTTTCCTATTGGGACAAAATGATTCTTTGGTTTAAAATGTCATGTCACAAGGCAACAGTTAATTTTTCATTTCCTAATTGGACTTTGAAACTTTCATCTTCATTAGGTAGGTTTTTCTTGGATAGAATTTCTGTACAAATTCCATAAATTACTGAGGTCTTTGTGTAGCTTGAATTCACATTTTTGGCAGAATTATATTATTTGTGTGCTCATTTAAAAGAGACCCTGAGTGGTAACCTTGCAATTTGATAGCTTTAGCTGAACTAAAGCACTTTTTTTCAGGATTTTTAAGTGAACATACTTTTCACTTGATTTTTTTTTATTAAATACGTAGTGAAAATAATAATATACTTTGCGAATATCATGTTTATTATGGTAGACTAATTTCTTTGAATTTTGAATCAGTTAAGCAGGAAGCAGCGGATTTTTGCGACTCTGTAACAAGAAACGTGTTTGTTTCACATCCAGCTTCCATCCAAATGAGAACTGCAGCAGATAGAAATCTCCTAAGAATTTCAGTGAACCATCATGTTTGTCATTATAATAGAGCTGCTTTAATATGTTAAACACCTTCCTAATTATGGTATTTTCTCTCAAGATAGCAAAGGTAATCATAAGGATTTCATCACTAATGCTGCCCATATCCTTCAGGGTAGTTTATCTGAAATTTTGGTTTCTTTGAAAGCTGTGATCAGCTGGACAGGAGGACACTGTGTCTTTGGTGGGTTGGTTAGAGCTCTTCCAAAGGCAGATTTACCAGTGGTTAGAACATAGTGTCTAATTCCACCTGCCTAGAGGCACTTACCTGCTTGGGCAATTTCTCTTCATCTGGTTGTCCTCACTCAAAGCTTCTTTTCTGCTGGGCTTTGTCCCATGGCATTGGAGCCCTGAGCSAGCCCTGGCGTCTGGACTCCAGGAGGAGCCAACCAAGTGGTTCAGCAAGGAGCACAGGGCAGATGAGGAAATGGGAGAGGACCAGGGTTAGGAAATTATTTGTTAAGCCTTGAAAATAAGTATGGGGGATTGAGTTAGCCCCTGCATGCTGTCGTGTGAGGGATGGGGTGCGGGWACTAATGTGTAGGCTGAAAATGGGCAGTGTGAAAAGGGAGAAAGAAAAATAGGCAGCTGAGCGTGTTGGGAGACCACGGAGCAGGGATGTCCCATCTGCTGCAGGGGGCTTGGCGAAGCGGGGAGAGCTGGTGCTTTGCAGGCCGCTGTGGAGGGTGATGCCTGCACGCTAACCTGGGGAACACCCAGTTCACAGCGCTCGCCGAGGCTTAAGTCGGCTCTAAAGAACATTCAAGAACCTTCCAGCGAGCTGGATCAGCAGCAAAGTCCAAGTTGTGCTATTGCCAGAATGCCCGGACACAACCGTAAGTATCCAATCCTTCTGGCCCGGCCTCATCTGTTTCTTTCCATGAAAAATAGAACAGCTTCAACGGGCTCTGCCTATAGTTTCAGCGTAGGTCTGGGTCCACATCTCTGTAGTGAGAGAAATGGAYCTTTCTCTTGCAGAGCCTAAGCGAGTGCTGTAGCTGCTGTTGCAGTTTAATGAGTCTGCTGCCTCGGTCCCTRCTCAGGGAAGGGATCTGGGGCCTGAAACGTGATGACAGTGAGGCACCTCGGCACAGCTGGGCCACGCTCTCTTCAGCAGTTCTTCAAGTGGTTCCCTGCTGGCCTGCGTGGATCTGGCTCTTTGTGTCTAAACCTGCTGGATTGCACACGGAGCCTGGCTAGCGAGACATCAAGCTGAACGCTCTGTGCTCAGTATTACAACACCTAAGCCCTTTTATGAAGCCCCATACTCCCACTGCAGCCCAGCAGACTGAAATGATTGTTTCTTAGCAGCAAGGTTCAAAGTCCAAAGCTCAGATCTCTTCAAGACGCTTTGGAAGTTTTGGGGATTTTTTTTTTGTCTGCGAGTTGTGCTCCCTGGTGGAGTATTAGCTTGAAAAGATACTATTATGGAATAGTCATAAAAAAAGAGCTAGATATGTTTGGTTTACTTCAATTAACTAAAAATTCTCCAAATCCTTAAACATCTCGACTGTACTTTGTCACGCTGAAGAGGACAGAAGAAAACTTTAATTTTCCTTCAGTGCATAAGCAGGCCTCAACCGACCTGCAGAGCCCAGCCTGCCCTTAGAGCTAATGAGACTGTCACGTCAGTGTGAAGGTGACTCTGATAAAAAGCAAAATACACTCAGCTGCCAGGTGAAGTTTGGCTCAGCGCTGCTCTGTGCATTGCAAGGGCTGAGTTACCAGAGGAAAGGTGAGGTCAGCATTTTGGAGCTGTGCTGAAGCTCTCCTCTCCGCCTAGCAATACTT